ATTCAACAGAGGATAGGCACTGTGCGCTTCAGCACTCGGCGGCCCCACTCTGTGAGTTTGTGTGGTCTACCGCTTTGTGGCTAAGCTGTTGTTGCACCTAGACGCTTCCATTTCACAATAATAAGACTTACAGTTGACCGGGGCAGATCTAGCAGGACAGAAATTTCACAAACTGACTTGTGGCAGAGGTGGCATCCTGTGACAGTGCCACGTTTAAAGTCACTGAGCTCATCAGTACGACCCATTCTACTGCCAGTGTTTGTCTATCATGACTGCAAGGCTATGTGTTTAATTTTATCCACCTGTTAGCAATGAGTGTGGCTGAAACACCAGACCTAAATAATCAGGAGGGGTGTCCCAATACTTTTTCCATATAGTGTAGGTTTCCAGGACCAGAACTGGAGACCACCAGTTTAGAGTGATCTGAAAACATTCAGTCAAGATCAGCTTTGTGGTCAGAAACTGGCCGTTGATGAACGGATAGAGGAGGGCTAATATAAACTCCAAGGCAAACGGATGGACTACAGTCTTTAACTGTACACTAGTAAGGTGGAACTACAAGGGGTTTCTAATAAAGTGGCCGACCATATTCATAATCAGTCATACTAATTAATGTGGATCATATGCTGTGCTAAAACTAAAAGAGAGCTTTTTGCGATGGCCCAGAAGGGCCTCAGTACTGGAGTAGTGGCTTTCTAGACAGAATGGACTTTGAGGGCTGTTCAGAGGAAGTGCAGTCCTGTGAGAACTAACTTCATTAAGGCGTATGTGACTGTGGGATGGGCGGGGAGCAAACGGCCGTGTAGAGACTTTTAAACACTGCCAGAGCTTTTCTACTCCCCTGCCACTTTGGCTTAGACAATTACATTAACTAAGCACTCTGAGCTGCCCAGCTCAATAAATCCCTCAGACAGCCAATCAGGTGAAAAGAAATCCCTCTCAAGCAAAAGTTCCTCTGGGTTGGGCTTACAGCGTGAGCCACTTAAATACTGCCACCTGGATTTATGTTGTCTAGGAGTGAAATGTTGCTATAGAGCAAAAGAAGAGTTCTCAAAAAATATTCAGTCAGTCATTCTACAATTGAGGTTTCATTTCATGTCTATGGAATATACACTATATGTCCAAAAGTTTGTAGACACCAGCTCACACATTGGGAGTTTGCACCCCTTGCTGCAGTTACAGTCTCTACTCTTCCCAGAAGAGTGTTGGAACATTGCTGTGAGGATTTCATTCAGCCACAAGAGCATCAGTGAGGTCAGGTACTGATGTTGGGAGCTTCACCACTCCAGAGAATGCAGTTCCACACCTCCACAGCCCAATGCTGGGGGAGCCAGCACGTGCCACTTGGCATGGTGACTTTAGGCTCAATTGGCAATGATTTTCTGTGGAGATTATACTACCTGTGTGTGCAGTCGAACACCTGTGTTAGTAACACGTTCACCTTACAGTAGCTACATTCACTAATTACCTCAGGGGTTAAGATATTTTGGACACAGTGTATCCTTAGTGCATTTTTATCAACAATTACTTTATCATATCATTTTATTTTATTAAATGAAAATGGTGGCGCTATTGCCTCACAGCAAGAAGGGCCTTGGTTCGATTCCCCAGCTGGGCGACCAGAGGCCTTTCTCTGTGGAGTTTGCATGTTCTCCCCGTGTCTGCGTGGGTTTCCTTTGGGTGCTCTGGTGTCCTCCTGCAATCCAAAGACATGCAGTCAGGCCAATTGGACACACTAAATTGCCCCTAGGTGTGTGTGTGAATGTATATGTCTGTCTGCCTGCCCTGCAATGGACCGGCAACCTGTCCAGGGTGTTTCCTGCCTTCTGCTCAATGAACGCTGGGATAGGCTCCAGCACCCCCCTACGACCCTGAAGGATAAGCAGCTTAGAAGATGGATGGATGATATAGAGTAGCAGATAGAGGCAAAGAAAAGAGAGGACACACCTTAAGTCCACTACTTTACCTTTACTAAGGGGTGTAGCCTGGTCATTCTCTTGAAACAGCCTCAGACTAGGTCAACAACCATAATACAGATGAACAAATTCTTGTGACTTAGTAGATCAGTGGGAACTCTAAATGGTAAAATAAGAAAAAATAGCAAAATCTAAAATTTTGTAAAGCATATATGTTTTAATATTCCAGAATTCTGGTTGATGTGTGCACAGTCTTGCTACTGTTTTGTATCACCATAGGGCAGAAGCGTAGATATCCTGATACTATGACATTGCAAGATACAGCATGCTTGGAAATTGTATCTACCAAGTTGGACTATGAACTTTTTCACAGGCCTGGCCAAAAATACTCTTCTGCCTATGCTTATTTTTCACTGGTAAGAGCTAGAACATGCTATTTTTGTAATTGCATTTCCAAAAACATTACATCATTTTTACTCAAATATTTTTTATATTAAATCGTGGCTGTAAGATTTAAGGTAAGATTATTAGATAAGCTACTACAGTATCACTGTTTCCCATCAGTGAACGCTCCATTGATTCAGACGCTTTTCTTAACCAATATTTGGGAAAAAAAAGTCATTCAAGTATGTTTTTTTTAGGGAAATTACATCATGTGGTGCAGTTCATGTGATACTGGAGTAAACCATTTCTTAGTGAGCATTTGTAAATAAGTAAATAGTTAAGCAATATTATTGCTATCAGTGTACGAAATACCCCCTTGTATTTGGCTGGCTAATCCAGTGTTGGCTGGCTGTTGACTTACTCGCTATAGTGGAGCTGATGCTGGCTGATTCTCCTTATGGAAATGTTTAGCGATGCAGTCTTCCATACATTAATTGAGATCCTGCACATCTCCTCATTTGTCTTGGAAACAAGAGCACAATGTGTGATTTTATTGAGATCTCCACTAAAACTCAAGAGGTTTTTTTGCTCAGGAGAAACATTTAAGGAGACTTAAGCAAAAGTCTCTTTTACTTATTATTTTCTAGGAGAAAGTATGAACAATGTTTGCTTTGGTCTTGATGACTGGAACTATGTTTTTGGTGGAATAAATTGCCAGTATTACAATACATATTAGAAGCAATATTCAAGGCTTCTTTGCTTTATTGTTTTCTACACTTTACAAAACAGTTGAGACAACATTTTGTTGCAGGCGTGAGTGAACTGGTCATACATTTTAACTTTTGATAACTTTAAGCAATCTTATTTGGATTGTAGGACACCTTAAAAGTCAGAATGGCTGCAAAATAAATGAAGGATTTTGTTAATTTTATGTTTAATTTTATTAAACTATCAACATGCTTTTGGAGTTGATATTGGTATAAATCACAACAAATTTTTTTTTTCATTTTTTTTTCCAAAAATGGACTAACTGCTTTATAAAAATAGGCTAATAATTAACTTATTCATTCAGCACAGTAGGTCAATCAGTTAATTAACAATCACTTGTAGCTCTGCGAATGACCTTCCTAACAGGGCCTGAGTACCTCTTATTCAGTCACAATTAGTCACTAGCTGCTGTTCATCCCTCTGAATTGCAATTAGGAGCTAATGAAAGAGTAAATGGCTGTATTATGTGCTGCAGGCAAGGTTTACCTCCAACTGCAAATCATAGCAAACAAATGATGAGCTAAACAGAATGTAAAACGAGTGACTGTCCATGTAAATGGAAGTTTTTCAGCCAAATCTCTGCCACATCTGCTGCATAGTCGATCAACACAGAAATTCATTTTGATGTTTCTCTGTACTTCTTACAAACACATAATATCTGTTGACCCAAAAAACCACTACAGCACATTAGAAGCAACTGTCCATTGAGGTCAACGGGTTTTATGTTCTTTTCTAAATGCAATGAAAGAAAACAAAATGATTGAAAATGATTCCATGATAATCAAATACATGCTACTGATTATAGACACTGCGGATAGTGGTTTGGTTGAGTGTGTGTATGTATGTATATATATATATATATATATATATATATATATATATATATATATATATATATAGCACTGCTGTCAGCACACATAACTTTACAGGAGAAGGAAAAAACATACTTTACCTTCAATGAAACCAGACTTTTTTCCAACTGATTTGGCCGTTTCTTTTGAACCATTCCTCATGAAATTTACACACAACGTAAAGAGCAACAGGAACTTACAAATTATGTCAAAAACTGAAAAATGACAAAAATTGGAGCACCGATAAATAAATAAATAAATAAATAAATAAGTATATATATATATATATATATATATATATATATATATATATGTACAGGGTGATTCAAAATGATTTATTGCACTTGTAAATCATTATAGAACAATGCAGTAAATTGTAAATGGTTGAAGCGAGCATAACATTTTTCCATTTTACAAGTGCTCAATATGACGTCCTCCAGCCATACGGACAACATCAATGCCATAGTCATATATATATATATATATATATGTATACACACACATTCCGACAATTACAGTATCACAATGTACATATATACACATATAAATATATGCCCTGTACTATTCTCTTCAGTTTCCTTGTATGGAACCAGTTTTAAGTGGTTCTGTCCTACAGCCTCGCCTGATGTTTGTTTTTATCTCTTCACTGATCCTCAATTCTATTTTGCACCTTATAGTTGATGTCTAACAAAACATTTCACTGTTTGCTGTATCTAACATAGGCAGCTCACTATTCCAGGCTTGCTAAGTTTAGTGCTCAGGTCTGATTTGTTCTGGGGGTGGTGCTGTTTGTGGTTAATATCATGTGAGAACATCATAATAATAGTCACTTTTATATCTGTATACCTCCCCCTCCAATACAGTCAAGCATTTACTGCATTTACTAGCAGTGATGATTCACTGCATGACTGATGACATTCTCAGGGAGCACACACAAACTGAAACCTGAAAGCAGCTTCTCTTTAGTAAGCTACCGGGGTAACTAAAAAGCACTGAGCAATACTTTTAACTGTTTGTGGCGACAGAAAGTAATTCACAACCACCATCAACACTGATAACCTTTATTTAAATAAAACAAAATATCCAACACACTAGAAACCTAAGTGTACATTCTGTAGAGGAAACATGATGAACATAAGGCATTCTTTTTGTGCTTGGTAGCTCAGTTATATAAAGCCAATACAGCCCAGTAGAAAGAGCACATCTGAGGGCCATCTGTCCTCTCTTCTACACGGTCCTCTATGCACTGCTGAGGCCGATGAAATTAGCTGGCTGCACCATGCCTCCTTGGCGTTCCCTAAAACAAGGAAAATAATGTCACTAGTTAGGATTTCGTGAGATGTCACATGAGTACAAAATTGAAACAAAGTGCAGCACCATGTGTGCTAAGCGCCATGGTTTAGCCAAAAAAATAAAAAAAATAAAAATACAATTATCCCCTTTCTCCAAACATCCACCAGCCAAGACACATTTGGTGTCTGAAGTCTACTTCTTTAATTTTGCACTGGAGCTACAAGGCTATTGTAGCTAAAAGGTAATGGAAACATATAGTTGTCAGGCTAGCATAGTGCAAACTGCTTGCCTATATTATCACACCCTGCTAGTAAAACCAGCATATTCCAGCATATGTTGTGTTTTGGATGCCTGTAAACCAGCACCAGACCAGCATAAACCAGCACGAGTAAGCTTAGACCAGCATGGAATTTGTTCTTGCCTTAAAGGAGCAACATGCAAGATGACACAACCAGAGAACTTGTAGAGAGGAGAATTACCGCTCTGTAAGGTCTTCCAGGTTTCTCAAACGCTAGAGGGCGCTCCTGAGTGAGTCCAAAATGAAAAGGTTAATATGGAGCATTTGAGCAAAATCATAGTTTATAACAATGACGACAAACGTGATCTTTCATTGTTTTTAATGGAGCAGAGGTGACTGACTGCAGCAAGCAGAACACTCCATCACAAGTTAAATTCTCCCAACTTTAGCCATCAACTGCAGCAGTGAAATAAACCAGATGTTGGGTTTTTGGAAACACGGTTGCTAAATGTTCGTACTCGAAGTCCAGGTGTACCTGTTCATACTGTCAGAAACATCAGAGTGATCAAAATATTTTTAGGATAAAATAGTGGCCATCACCCCACACATGGGCAGAAACAGCAGTAATGCTATCAGCACGGCAGCATTTACATGTCTTCATGCCGCAGGTTGGCTGTGTACTGCCATTTCTGCTATGAGGCACAGAACAACACAGAACACCAAACATGTCTTGGCTGATCAACATTCGGGGATTAAAAACAGTGTGAACTGAATTTGGCCTACCATTTCTTCAATTGTGAATCTTTGGTGCTCTCAGCAGCATACCTATTTGTGTTCATTAGCATCCTAATTTGCATACCTTGTGTAATTTGCATACCTACGTCTGAGCCATCCTTGCCCTGAGTGCTCTCTCCTTCTTTAGCCTGTCACTGGCTCTCTCTCCTCACCTCTCCCTGCGGCATTATCTCACTCACACTCTCTCCAAGCTTACGCTCCACACTCTCAGCCTTACTAGAATCCCCATTTCTGGGAAAACGTCTACTCAGAACACTCACGGTCATGTGGAACGAAACAAATGTAGAGAATACAGCGGTGAATTCCAGATAACACAAATCATTTTGAACCGTAACGCAATTTGTGTTTCTGCACACTGTTCTTTTTTTCCTAAGGAGCTGATGACAGTTTGATGGTGTCGGCTTGGCACGTCTTACAACACGACCCACACACACACTCACAGAGCAACCTCATTTCCTGTTTTCTAAGTCCAGAAACTACAAGTTCAGGAGGTTGAAAAGATGCTTTGCACGTTAAAACATTCAGACTACACTGAAGGATTCAGAGCATTCAAGCTTACCTTAGAAACTAAAATTCAACAATATTTATCATTCATTTATTTGTGCTTCATACAGCCAGAGACCCTTTGTTTATTTCATTTCTAGTGAAAACAGCCATCAAGTACAGGTATTATTTTACCAGTGTGATAAAAAATACAAAACACTTATATTTAACACTACACTCTCAGAAGAAAAGGTGCTAAACTGTCACTGGGGCAGTACCCCTCTTGTCACTGGGGTGGTACCCTCAAGGGTACATCTCAGTACCTTTAGTCAGGGAACATAACTGTACTGTAATCTATTGAAATTATATTTTCTAAGTTGTACTGACTCCACACACCCCGTCTCGTCTCCAGGCTTTTTATTTTATTGTTCAGTTTTAAAACAGTACGTTATGAAAAGGTACAGGTATGTACTTATTTAAGGTTCACAGTTGGGCCTTAAAACCGCTGTTGTACCTTTGAAGGTACTTTTACATTGTTTGTACCTCAGTGAACGAAGAATGTACCTGCACAGAACCTTCATTTCTAACAGTGTAAGTATAATATCAAATCTATCCATACTCAGTTTGTTCGCTCTTCATTTTTCTGCACCCTGGTGTCACTTTTACTGGCCAGGTTTTATGAACTGATGAGTCTGAATTTGTGATTGCAATGACTGAAAAAATGTAAACCAACTTCTAAGACTGAACTTTGGAGGTGTGGAAAAATATCCATGCAAAACTGAAAGCAAGTTTTCTAAAAAGAATGCAAAGGTCACGCTAAACACTGAAAAAAAAGTAAATTTACTTAATTGTTGAGGCTTCTGGGTAGTTTTCTGTTAAATATATTTTCCACTTTTTTCTTGATGCTAAAAAATAAATATCATGTACTTATTGGCTGCTTTGCCTGGAAATTACATTAATGAAAGGGTGGTCTTTGACTTTTGCAAGTACTGCATATTATGATATTTTTAACCTACATATGTTGTTTTTTCTGTTATCAGTTTTTTTTAACAAGTAACAACAATTTTCACTTTAATCTTTGTGGAACTACTTTTTTTGGTGGAAGAATCAGCCAATATAAGACCATATATTTCAGAACAATGTCTGGGCCGTCTTTGCTTTACTGTTCTGTTGCTTAATTATTATTTATAATGGGGAAAATCTCAAAAAGGTTGTGGTTTGTTTGGGTGTGAGTGAAGTGGATCAGATAAGAATAATGGGATTGAGGGAAGGATTTACAGTTTACTTCAGGTTCTCCTTCCTTAACACCTACCGCACTGCTGCCGATACCACTGCTATGGCTAAATATTACCACCAGAAGGAGCTGTTTGACGAAACCAACCAGCAACAGACCCTCTGACACAAGACAGCATCTTATAAAGTATCTTTGAAGGCGACAAAATGAAAGCTACAGACTGATAAATCTTTTGAACAGAGTTTCTCTCTTTTGCTCCTCAATATCTTCGAGGTTGAGCTGCATGCTGGCAGTATTTGAGTGATGGGCGCTGCCAAGAGTGAAAACAATGGTGGGTGTGGGCTTTTGGAAGAAAATACAGAACAAACATGCCATGATGTGAGGTCCTTTTAAGCAACACAGAGATGTCCACATCTGTTTTTTGTTTTTAAAAAATGCAGAGAGCCATAAAACAACCGGGCTCCAGCCACCAAGCCGAAGAAGGTGAAAAACCGGCCCATGCTTCAACAAATCATGCTGTAGCTGTTAAAAGGCAAGGTCACGCTTTATTTTGAGTGGTCCTTTTTAGATGAAATAAACACTAAACAGACTCTCAGTAGCATATCAACAACATATCAATGATATAGCAGCAGTAGATTCAGTAGATTATCAACTGATCTCCTGAGACTTTTAATTCACTGCATAAATAAGATTTGTTTATAATCTGCTGAATTCAGTTGTTTATCACTTTGTTTGGAGGGTCCAAATTCATATCTGTAGATGTAAACCTGAGAGGTCACTGAACATGTAACAGGTCTAATACAGACCATCTCAACATCCTCAACAAGCTGTTATGCGCTCACATTACCAGGTTGAATTGGCACAAATCAGATTTTTTGCCCTAATGCGACACACAAATCTGATCTTTTCAAATCCGACCTGAGCCACTTTTATATGTGGTTCTAGATCGGATACGTATGTGATTTGTGGCCATGCAACCTTAATGTGAATGTTCAGATCGGAATTCATGTGCTTTTTTTCCACTGCGTGTGTGCCATCGTTTAGCATTACCATGGCAGCAGCGCCGAACAGTAGTTAAAGGCTGTAAACGGTGGAAAAGCAACACATCTTACCTTTTCACCTTCGTCTCACTCTGATAATGAAGCTGAGAGCTGATCAGAGCTAATTATCTTCTCAGCGAAGCTCGTTCTGCTCGTTAGTTTGTTTGATGATGATGCACGTGATTCATTCACGTGACTGAATGAATCACTTACTGAGCAGGATGTGCGCATGTGGTTCATTTCAGGACATTGTTCACATTAACGGATTTGAGCAAAAATCGGATGAGGCTTGTAATGTGAACGTAGCACTGCTGACCACTCTGTAACTGGATCTTAACTGGATTAGGTTTTGGGTTGAGGTTAAGGTTAGGGTTAGGATTAGGGCCAGGGTGAGGGTTAGGTTTTGGGTCAGGTTGAGTAAGGTTAGGTTTTGTGTAATGGAAGTAACATATTAACAACACATCTACTAATGTAAGTAATGTATCAACAGAACGTCTACAAGATATTTACTCCAATGTATTCAGATGCTTCACTACTGCTACTTCCCTGATAGGTTGTTGATGTGTTACTGATAATCTGTTAAGAGTTTATTAATCATCTACAAAGGTCCACTCAAAATAAAGTATTACCAAAGGCAATACTAATTGTTTTACTGGGCTACCTGACATAGATTTAACAGATTTGTGGCACTGAAGATGATGTATGTTATGTTACATACAGCACTGTGTAACAGTCAGAGACCCTCCAGCCAAAATTAAGGTCAGGTATTTCATTTTTCAGTGTTGGGAAAAATCAGAAAACATATATGACAGAAAAATATACAGAAGCCTCAAAAAACAAAATGCCAGATTTTTCAGTATTTCATGTCTTTGACTTCATTACAGCTTCTATTTTTTCAGGAGGTTTTGTTCAGTTTTTTAAAACATTTCCTTTTCTCAGTGAGGCTTCACAACAGCTACACATCCTTTCAGACCCACAGCACTGAGTTGTCTTCTCACAGTGGAAGGATGGACAGAAACACCTGAGGATATTTTCAGATCTGAAGCAGCTTGATTTTCTCCTCTCTCTCAAAGATGAAAGCTGCTGTTTATTTGATGGGGGCAGTTTTGGTGGTCTACCAGGTCTTGCAGGTGGTTGTTAGGAGTCCCATTTTCTCCCATGTTAATCGTTTTTTGAACTCCAGTTATCTATTTCTGATCTCTTCAGAAATATCTCCTGAAAAATGAACAACTTGTATTTAATGGCTGTTTTGACTGGAAATTAAATAAAAGAAAGGTGGTCTCTGACTTTATTAAGATATTGAACATTTTGCATGTAATTCGTAACAAATGGGTTTGAGATTTTGTTCCCTCTGTGGTAAAGATTATCTATTATTTACAGCGTTCCAGGTTTTTACATAGAGCCATGTTCAAGGTTAAAATTGAGAGAGCTCAATTTTGCCTCCAGTGAAAGGAATAAAAAGGAACATCTCCAAAGCAAAATGTTTAATTTCAATTCATTTTATGTATCCTGTAGTTTTCTCTCCCTTTCATTTCTTCCAAAAGTTTGTGGAGTCGGTCTCTGCCTATTTTTTACGACTGTAGAAATTGGCCGCTTGTATCATGCCACTCTGTTTGGCCCTGGGGGTCACACGAAACAATAAAAAAAATTAAATGGTTTAAAACCTTATGTCCAGCAAGCTTTTCCAAATGGAGTATATATGAATACTTTCCAAAGTACACTGAAATGAAGTGACAAATAACGCTTTACGAATTAATTCAGATTTTTCATCTCTGACTGAATTTATGTGGAAGAGAAATTAGCATTCCCAGCAGGTTCTGATGGCTCAGAAACAGCACATTAATCACCCAGTCAGGAGACTGGAATAATGACAGGGTAAGGGTAAGTATCTACCTCACTTCTAAGATGTAAGTGAACGTAATAGTTTTAAATTGAGCTGACAGATTCACAGGAGCACAGCCAACGTGATGAATGATTACTTCTTAAGATTAGTAAGATATTCATCCCCATATGCAGAGAATGTCTCACTCACTCAGGTGTAATTTACATTTTTGGTGAAAGCTTCAACAAGGATGATGGGAAATGATCATGCTTCTCATTGTGTGACTGGGAGCCAAAGCTTGGACATTATTGATTTGGTTCTTTGGAGCAGAATTCAGCATGAGCAGGATTTTATTATGATCCTGCTTTTTAAGGCTTGGCTTAGTTTATGGAGAGTGCATAAGAATTAAATGAACCATAATTCAAAATGAAGTATTATTTCATCCCTGAAAACATCCTGATTAGAGCCTCAAAGGGGAATTCTGCTGATTTTTTTAAACATTTCTGCAGAACTAAGAAGTAAACAAAGTCATTCAGAGTGGTTTGATACGAAATGCTACAAAAACGTCTAGATAAACGTATGAGTCAGAATTGTGGTGGTAATGAGTGGTGGTGATAGGAAGCAGAGGTCTGAGGAGTTTAATGCTTCTAAAAGCTCCTTCACAGAAAGTTATTACATTAAATAGTTTTGAATACATTGCCTGATGTCTGTGACCTGAAATGTATTTTTTTTAAATCCAGAGATGGCGGAGAGGTACATGGAGGTTCATGTAAGGCTAAACAGAACAAAAAGAAAACTTCTCTATTTCAGATTTATCACTATTAATTAGTGAAGACACACGAAGGTTCACTAGTGGTATTGGATAGTAAATAAAATGACTATATTTTGTTCCTATCACTACCATTGTAAAGAAATCTGAGTCTGCAAGTTTCTCTTCAGTTAACCATTTCACATTAGACCAGACTGAATGCCTTTGTTTACATCTCATTGCTTGAATTATGCAGCAGTTTTCAAAAGTCAGTAGAAGTCTTCTTTAATACTGTACCAAAATGTACTACTGTAATAGCATTTACAGTAGACAGCAGTCATACCAGCAGTTTCCAATTCCAGTCAGAGACACATCAGCACATTTGTCTCAGACTGAGTACTTCTGCAGTGTACTACAGACTTTTAGTGCAAACAGGATGTTTACACAAGTAAATGAAGCATAATATAGTTTACCGTTAAGAACCAAATGATGAACTAGAGCTGTGTTGTACACCGTTGGGCAATTTTCAAATGTGAGTCATTTGCTTTGGTCCTCTGATAAGTGAATAAGTGGAGCATGAGGCACATCCTATCATGTTTTTTGCTAAATCACTTGAAAATTAAGTCAAGATTAATGAACTTTGTACCCAAGCAACCTACCCATGTGGAAAAAATATATATTCCAAATGTATTTATCAAATATATTTTTTGCAATGTATGAAAATGGCCAAAAATGCATTTATTAAATGCATTTATTTGTATTTGTTATTATATTTTTTTATGTAGTTTTAATAAAGGTTGCAGCTACAACTAAATATACATAAATAGCCATGTATGTATGCAGTAAGACAGCGCTCACACAAAATGTATTTCAAATAAACAAGATATTAAATCATAACTGCATTTTCACAGAGTATCAATACCTACAACACTTGCTTTTGCCTTGTTAAAGATTCATTTGCTAATACCTGCAAAAAAAATTAAGATACTGGAACACAAATTCATATCAGAAGGTATCCAAACAGTAAAGTGTGTTAGACAGTATTTTGGCTGTTTTTAAAATGTACTTGATAAATACACTTACATACACTTATTTTGTAAAGTACATTTCTATATGTAATATTTCCCCATTGGTTTTTTTAAAAATGTATGTTGAAATATATTTGGTTAATATGGGAATATATTCTGAAATGCATTTTAGCATGAATTGCAATGTATTAATGTATGAATGTATAAATATATATATGTCCATATATTTGTTTTCCATATGGGTGCACATCTCTGCTACAAATAAAGACATAAACTTTGTTTCCAACACCTACTGTTTATGAACAATTCAGCCTAACGTGATGTGACAGCAAATGTTATAACTATATAACTATATAACAGTTGCTGAAAGTCTGCAGAAAATATCTGACCAATTGACATGATAATTCACAGGTGGTGTTGAGAAAATGGCAAAAAGCATCCAACATAAAAAAAATCCTGATTACAGTTTAGCCCTAATTATATAGTGCCCCACTCTGCCTATTTTAAGTCAGGCTAATTGCCATACTCATCTAATGATTTCAAAATGTTTGATGCTCACTGGGCGTGCTATATTACAGCTAACTTTAAATCTATGAATGATTCAGTAATGTGAGGTACTGTGTGATAATTCATTATTTTCATGTGGTGCAAAATGTTTGATTTGAGATAATACTACCCTACAAAGACCCAGGCTCTAGATAGTAGAGTAGTGTTTAGACTTTAGACCCATTTCATGATGTGCTTAATTATTAGCTAAACTAAATCTGACATATTACATTAGCTAACCATAATTAAATGGTTAAGATGTAAACAGTCAATTCAAATTGGTTTTATATGAAATGCTTCGTTCTAGAGAAACTTGGGTGATGGGAACCAGACGTCTGATGAGTTTAATGTTTCTAAAAGGTCACAATATGTCAATGAAAACATTGCCTGATGACTGAGACACTGTTTTACAATAGTTTATATAAACAATTATGGACTAAAATGTCTTTTAAAGAATCCATTACAGGTAGAGGAGAGAGGTACATGCACAGGATTATAAGGCAAAACAATTAGCAGAAAGTATATTTGCATTATAGATATTGCAAACCCCGGTTACTATCAGCACCAGTATAAATAAATCAGACGCAGTACGTTTGTCTAAAATTAAACATTTCACATCAAACCACTCTGAATGACTTTGTTTACATCTTAAAGATTGAATTTTACAAAAAAAGATTGAAAATGCGGGTAAATTGAAAAATTAGTGGAATTTCCCTTTAAGCTAAAAATAGTGGACAGCACAGGCTCTAAGGACCAAGAATGAGAACCTCTGAGTCAGACCATGATTTGTGAGGTGTGTGTGTGTATGTGTGTGTGTGTGTGTGTGTGTGTGTGTGTGTGTGTGTGTGTAAGATAGATGGAGAGCTTGTTTACTCACACAGGCTCTTGTAGACTGAGCAGGAAACTGTCTATCTGATCTTGAGGAATGTCTCCATCTAGTTGTGCCAGGTATGTGTAGAGAGTCACAAATGTGTCGAAAGGGATCCGAGCGGCCGCGCCCTCTGGGTCCTCAGTCAGGATTTCACATGCGTGTTTCAGCGCACTGATAATAGTCTGTGAACACAACGCTGAAAATTAGGCTCTTTCTAGCTTTTGGTTTTTACCTTACTCCAAACTTAGCTACATATCTGCCATAATGTAACCCTATAGTTACTGTTTTCAGCTCCCCCCATAGTGCAAGTAATAATAAACTGGCTTTAACTGTCATCAACCAAAACTGTACTTGTTTGTTCATTCAAACTGATTCGGTAACTACTGAGTATATAAAACCGCTTTTATGTAAGTACCATTAACTTTTCAACCTTTTTAAAACACGAAGGCATCATACAAGCATAAATAGCCAGTACTCAGCAGTATCAAGCAACACAATAATAATAATAATAATAATAATAATAATAATAATAATAATAAATAAATCAATAAATTAATTAATTAACTAATTAACTTGGACTACAAAAGTCTCTATAGCTAGATGTCTTCAAAACAGCCACAATTTAGAAAACACATCACAAGTCTCTCAGCATTCTTACACGTTTCATTTTGAGGGCAGGAATATTTGGAAGAACTCTCATGTATTTACTGTTTTAAGAATAAGACTTCACTACAATTACAATAACATTAATAAACAAATCCAAATTACTGTGTTTTAATCTGATTGCCCTCAATGGGATTTATTGTCCAACACTGACCCCATGAGGGCCTCATAGGTATTACACTGTGCATCAAATGCAGTTCATCTGGTTTAAATGATGCACAAGAAGTCTACAACTGTTATTTAAAGGGGACCTCCACTGATTTATCAAAAGTCCTTCATAATTCATTGGCTGGGATGTAAAAAAAAAAAGTCTTTCCAAGTGGTTTGGTGTAAAATGCTCTGTTCTAGAGAAACATACCAACTATTTCTTACCGATTTCTTTACAACGGTGGTGATAGGAACCAGGCATCGCAATGTTTACAAGGCAAATATAGCTATTGTATTTACTATCCAAAAGCACCAGTGAGCCTACATGTATTTTCTGTGTTTTCATATGTAAATGTATGTTAATGGTAAAATAAAGGTGAATTAAAATAAATAAATAAATACATTTCTTTAAGGACTAGTCACCTCACAACACACCTTATGTAACAATATGAATTCTGTATTTTTGAAATAAGCTTAGGTGAAAATCAGGCGGCATGTTCTTAACCATTTCATGTAATAACTTGCTGTGAGGGAGGCATTAAACCCTTCAGACGTCTGGTTCCTATCATCACCACCGTGAACAATTCTGCAAGTTTCTCTAGAACAGAGCTTTTCACATATTAACGTCATCATCAGCGTAATTCTCCTACACTGTACAAAGTGGCTCGTCAGATCTACTAAAAAATTACTTCATGTGGTAACAAGTAAATTAACTAGTTTTACTTAACATGAATAAATACTTTGAATGAACGATTCTTTTAATCAGTGTAGTATTTTAAATTGAATAAAACTGGTTCAGTTGCTTGTTACTACATGAAGTAAATTTTTAAGTAGATCTGACGAGCCACTTTTTTACAGTGTATAAGGGGGAAGACTTTAAAACATCTACACTGACAAAATTAGCTTGTTAATTTCTGCTTTAGTTGGCTACTCACCCCACCCAACGCACTGCAGCCCAGAGTAAAGAACTGCATCCAGTTGATTTGTGCTTCAAAATTACCGAGCACAAGGAGAGTATCAAGCTGTTCAACTGGCAAGCACAAACCTTTCCACTTCTTCAGCAACTCTTCTTTCGTTACGGTTTCTTTAGGTGAAAGCTACAGTGAAAAACAAATGACACCGGTGTTTATCTGTAAATACAGATAATAATAGCTGCATAGCCTTGTAGCTATGCTAAACTGGCTGACACAAACCTGTTTATGAAGGACCTTGAGAAGGCCTGGAGTCAGTCCAGTGTCTGTCTTTTGTGTTGCTACTGGCATTTCTAGCCTGTCCTTGACCGGAAGAGTTTCACCTTTTGACAGTGCTGAGAAATAGCTGAAAGAGGGGGATATGTTTCAAAGACAAACAACAAACAACTGGCACAAATCCATTTAAACTAAATCCACGTTGTCTTGTGCGACAGTCATTTCTCACAGAGCTTCGGTGAGAAACATAAGGGATACACAGGTGATCATTTCTATTGATTTGTTATAATTTACCTAATAAGCATCCTTTAAATATGCTAATCCTGCACCCTTACATACTAGACTGCTTAGAGGCACATGATGCCAAGGGGCACCAAAAGGTTACTCCAAAAAAGTGCATGGCTTTAAATTACTATAATCTGTTAAAATAACACTTTTTGAAACAGTCAATCTACTTCAAATCCACTCACACACCACAAGAGTCAGCCTCATAATCCAGCCGTGAATATCCAAAAAAGCATAGTGGCATCTATGTGGGTAAAACATAGACGGGATCATTTTGGCACTTTATAGTGTTACCTGACCAATCTTGACAAGGTCTTAGATGGAACAGAGTTACCTCTATTAACTCTATTAACCATGAAGAATTAATAGAACGAGTCTTCAGTAAAACTAATACCTTTTCAGCAAATGATCTTATGTTATTATCAGAAGGTTTGTAGCGATATGGCGCTATAGATTAGACTAGATTTGATTCAACTTTATTATCATTGTGCAGAGTACAGGTACAGAGCCAATGAAATGCAGTTAGCATCTAACCAATCGACAGTTACAATATGTCCAAATAAGGATGGTAGAGTGGTAAAAATATAGATGTTGCAAATATAAATGTAATATAATATTATAATAATGACTATAGCTGTAATGCCCAGGGGTACCACAGGATCTTTATCTGGCCCTGTCCAAAATGACTGAACTTCCTCATGCCCTTTTCAGGTAGGAGAGACACCGATGACACTTTTCATGAAGGCCATATGAAATCACATTATCAGAAGAAAAACTGGCCTAGACTAGACTAATCTGGGGAGGTTATGCTTCTGTATTCATTGCAAAGTTGTGTGGCCACAATTGACTCCAGAGTGAATGAGAGAGTACACCAAATACACAACACTGAATATAACTTACGCAGCAGCCCACTGCAGCACATCATGCGGCTGTGTTCTAATAGCAGCTTTAGTGAACTGTTTGAGGATATCAGGCAGTTCTGGGGGAATGTTGATCTGCTGGGAGCAGTACATGGTATCTGGAGGAGGCATGTCTTTTGTACTGAAGTGAAACAATGAGAAAGGTAAAGAGTCATACAGTAGAGATGTGTGATAAATATAAACTCTCAGCTCATTTTGTCAGGCAAAAACATCATTAAAAACATATATATATATATATATATATATATATATATATATATATATATATATATATATATATATGACTTCTGATCAATAATACTTCATTTCATCTTGCTATACTGAATTCAATATAATGATGCTAAAGTTATAGATGACTTTTTATGAGTCATAGCTGTAATGAGTGTAGCATAAATGGACCGAATGTGGACTATGTGAAGTCTTTAGTTCTCGCCTTCAAGGAAAATGTAATGGATTGAATTTACTTGATTAAAAAGTGTATACAATTCCCACATATAAAATATATACATCAACACAAATTTTTGCATGTGGTGTGGAAACGATGCATACATTTGAATAGTAAATTGATCGGCTCACTTCAGTGTGTTCTTTAAACAGAAGAAGAATCGTTATTTGTTGTCTGAGACTGATCTACTGCCACCTTTGTTTTTATTGATCCTTTTCTTCTCAGAATCTCTCAACAGTTGAATTGATAGCAAATTCCACAAAAGCATAGTGGCTTGGATTTGGTTAAAGGAGAACTCCACCATTTTTCCACCATCTACATAATTAAATGGTTGAGATATCAACAGGATCATTTAGAGTGGTTTCATGCAAAAAACTCCACTCTAGAGAAACTGGCCAAGTCAGAATTGTTCACAGTGGTGGTGATAAGAACCAGACGTCTGAAAAGTTTAACGCCTCTGCAAGCTCCCTCAGTGAAAGTTATTATAAATATGCTGTCTGATGCCTGAGACACTGATTAATGAAGGTTTTATGATAAACTTTTATACTTAAGTTAATTTATTTTAATCCATTAATGGTGGAGGGATACATACAGGGTGTTGTAGAGAAAAATAGTCCCAAAAGAAGACTTATTTTATCAGGTTTATGAATATTTAACCAAATATAAAAACTCAGAAGGCACGTGTAGGTTCACTGGATAGTAAATAAATGACTACATCTGTAGGTTTCTCTACAATTTAACACCAAACCACTGCGAATGACCCTGTTTACATTATCGGACTGAATCAGTCAGAAACTTTCCCTTTTTTTTTACACTGAATAAACTTGTGGAAACACCAGTTCGCTGTGCGCATGCGCAGCACCGTTATTTATCCACCGGCTCAGCAGCTCCTTGAGTTCATTTAACTCGCTTTAATAGTATCGATTAAGTTTAACTGTGACTGTTTGGTTCTATGAATCCAGCTTTCTGCAATAAAACCTGAGTATCAAATAAACTCACTGGCAGTCGCCGTTAAGACAGATATATCGCGATAAAGGCAGAATTTAACAACTTCTGAAAAACTTACCGGACTTACAGCAGCTCGGAGACGGAGGCTGCAGGAGATAATCTAGCTAATATTAAACAACCATTAAAACAAAGATAGATAATAAGTTAAATGGCTGTCTTTATCTTCAGTCCCCCGATTTCACAGCAGCGCAGTGTTTGTGTACGGTCACCTAGAAACAGGTGATTACGTCATTAGGCTCCCGCGAGAGGGTCCCTCATCGCTCATAACAGCATACTAACAGAGATTTGTGCTTCGCGTGCTATTTATCATTGTTATATATATATATACATATATTTTCCAAAATGTGAGTCAAGTTTGTGATACATTTTATAATATATTTTTGACATACATAAATAAAAAAACATCACTGTTAGATAAAATTAATCTATATATGTATAAGCATTTCAACATCAGCATTTGAAAAATGCACAAATCAATATATTTTGTACATATGTATATATATATAGATAGATAGATAGATAGATAGATAGATAGATAGATTTTAAAATTAAGAAAAGTTAAAAACAATGCATATACACTGCACATATATTTTTAAATTGGCAAATATATATACACATTTTTCTTCCTTTTGTCTTTCTCACTATATATTAACAGAATAATGGACAGTGATGTGTAATAATATACGCATTAGATTCTAACGTAAATAATTCTGTAAACAAAGAAAGCTGTTACAGTTTTACAGACAGAAAACAAAAAGGGCTTTTATTGTGTTGACGGCTGTCCGTGTGCAGCAGTTAAATCATTCCGTGTCTGCTCTCTGGTCGCCCGCAGACATGGCGGAGTACAAAGAGGCGCCTTTGGCCACTCGGCCAAAAACATTAGACCCTGCGGAGTATTTTAACATCTCACCTGATCATCGACGGGCCGAAGAGCAGCGAGCTGCACTTAAAGCTCAGCTGAAGAGGCAGTACCAGCTGCAGCTCAACAGTCCCCACAGGAAGGAGCTGATTGTGAGTAACGTTACTGACGAATCGCTGTGGGTGAGCTAGGTTAGCTAGCACAGCACAGCTGACGCGGAATGACCGCTCTTCTAATCTAAAATGAGTGGCGTTATAGTTCTCAGTCATTCTAACACAAAACTGTACGTTGCTGTTATGAATGATGACTTCTGATATTTGTCAATCGGGCGGTAAAACAACCAGGCTGTTTAATCAGTGAGTGACCTTGATAGCTGGAAGACTAGCTAATGCTAACGTTAGCTAGCTAGCTGGTGGAGTAAGCTAGACGAAGCTGAAGTCCGCTTCTTAGTCTCTAATTTCTTGTTCACATTTCCCCATTCCACCTTAACGGAGCCAGAATGTAACTGCTATATCGTTTAAGGTGGAACGGGAAAATTCAAAGAAGAAACTGTCGATAAGGAAGCAGCTTCAGCCTCATGTAAACAAGCAGAATGTCTGTCTACAGTTTGACAGCTAGAAAGTAACTGCACTGAAGTGACACTGACGTGGTGGTGGTGGTGGTGGTGGTGGTGTGTTAGTGTGTGTTGCGCTGAAACGAGTGGATCAGACACAGCAGTGCTGCTGGAGCTTTTAAACACACTAATAGAGTGTCCATTCACTGTCCATTCTATTAGACACTCCTACCTTGTTGGTGCAGCTTCTAGATGTAAAGTCAGAGACAGTAACTCATCTTTTGTTGCACAGTTTGTGTTGGTCATCCTCTAGTCCTTCATCAGTGGTCACAGGATGATGTTGGCTGGGTATTTTTGGTGGCATCCACACTGAGGTGTTTAGAAACTCCATCAGTGCAAGTGTCTGATCCACTCGTACCAGCACAACACAGACTAACACACCACCACAACGTCACCATGTAAAAGGGGGCTAAAAGAGTATGCAGAGTAACAGATGAACTACAGTCTGTAACTGTAGAACTACAGAGTGCTCTTATATGGTAAGTGGAGCTGATAAAATGGACAGGAAGTGTAGAAACAAGAGGTGATTTTAATATTATGGCTAATTGTAGTCAGCTGGCAGGCATTAATGTTCAGTATGTTTATTTTTTTGTTCTTGTAGGAGGATCCTGCTCTTACACGCTGGACATTTGCTCGCACCAACAACATCTACCCCAACTTCAGACCAACAGCAAAAACTTCATTGCTCGGTGGCTTGTTTGGAGTCGTACCAATGTTCATCTTGTTCTGTGTACTGAAGACTAACAGGGTAAGCTGTTCTGATAATTCAGTATATCAGTGGTGTGCTTGTTGTGCACCACTGCCTTGAGGGGTTAAAGGGGATTTCTGTCTGTTTTTCAAAATTTGTGCATAAGTAAATTGTTAGATGGAAAAAAAGTAATTCAGAATGGCTTTGTGAAATGCTCTGTTCTAGAGAAACATACAGGGTCAGAATTGCTCGTAGCAGTTGTGATAGAAACCAGACGTCTGAAGAGTTTAATGCTTCCAAAATCTGCCTCAACAGAACAACAGAACTACCACCTTTCATTTGTTGCTAACCATGTTAGCATGTTTGGTTGAATTATTTGTTTACCCAGACAAAATAAATGTCACGACTTGGTGACTTTGGGCTAAGGACCTGGAAAAGATATGACTTTTTCAGTTTAGACACATTCAGTCATTCCTATACCTTTTTGTATTTCTTATTGCTGTATTTGTGTATATCACTGTTGTCGGAAGAAAACCTTGTATCTCCAGACTGATAACTTTACAGGAGAAGGAAAAAAACCTACTTTATTTTTAATGTAAGTCAATGGAAGCAGACTTTTTTCCAAGTCATTTTGAGCGGTTTCTTTTGGTCCATCATCATGAAATTTACACACTTTGTAAACGGCAACAGGTTTTTTCAAATTATGTCCAAAACTGAAAAACGACAAAAATGGAGATACAAGGTTTTCTTCCGACAACAGCGATATGAGAATCTAAAAGAGTCAAACAAAACATAGGTCCTCTAGCTTTTATGGTACACTTGAGAAACTACTGTTTTTATGGATCTGTTGGCTTGGTTTACACAATAGAAGCATAAGCAGTGTAGCAGGCAGACTGTAATGTAGTCACTGTGCACTCCAAATACACTCATGTATTAATGAGTACATGTATTCTTAGCCAGTGGTTTGCAAGTTCTAGTCACCAGAGCCTGTGGGAAAGTAATGTCTGTTTTAGGAGGATCTGTGTACTGCTGTTACACTGGAGATGTATTTACTATAGACCACATATTTTGCACAAGATCTGCATTAGTGATTCACCAGTATGGTAATTCTGGTCGGATGCCGATATCTGACACCTTTTATTTCTGCGACAGTAAGTTCCGGTGGCACATCTGATTGCTTGTTAAGTGTTTTATCTGCGCTGTTGTTTGATTACAGCATGTTTTTTCACAACAGCTGTATAATTCTGTTGGGCACTGGTTGCTAAGTAATGACTGCTTTGTGACTAACAGTATGTTTCTGTTTTACCACACAACAAACATAGAAAATAAATACAATAGGTCATTTCAGTAAGGTAGTGTTTTACCTGCGCCCTGTTTGGTCAGATTCTGAAGAAGAGTACGACAACAGGACTAACATGGATTAAGTTCCAGACCTATCATTGCCCCTAAGCTTTCAGGTGTGACAGCAGAACAAACAGGAATAAGCCAGAAATGAATACAATTCAGCGGAAAAGATGAAAATGATTTACAGACCAGGTGGAACAAAATGACATTTAGATTAATCTGGCAAGCACTGAAATAATGAAAAAGCTGAGCTGAACCTGATATTGCAACAGTTTTGTCTCAATTCGTGGCAGTGCAGGAAAAATGGTTTTATATCGAAGATTCATTGAATGAGTTGAATGAGTGTTTTATAAAATTAATGTCAAGCCTAAATGTTCTCACTCCTGAGAACAAACCACTGGCATATATATATAAATTTGAATGTAGTCATCAAGGTACTGTTGAATACCCCAGTCCTAAGGCATGGTCTCAGACGACTTAGCAGTTAAAGAACTGATGATATGAGGTCTCTTGTGGATCATGTTTGAAGGTTCTGTAGCAGCTTTAGCAGCTTTGGAGCCTTTAAACCCAGATAATGAGAGGAGAGTTTGTGCCCAGGGGCCTGGCAGGGTTTATGGCTGAGCCAGCTAACTTTAATCTTAGTTCGATCTAACGCTCAATCTCCTTATGATGGTGGATCACTTTTTACAAGGCAACATCACCATGGCAACTTACATGTCTGCTGTAGGGCAGGTTAGTTCTGGATTTGGCTCATTAAAAACCTCTTCGACCAATTAGGAACAGCCTTTTGAGGGAGGTGGACCCCTCTCGTCCTTTTCAGATCACTTTTCTGTTCCACTTTCCTGTTTCTTTTCCATTTGTGGTGTCAGTCACATGAAAAATATCACCTTTTAGCCGAGGAAATGTTATCAAGAATAAAAAAGCAGTTATTACTTCAATAAGCACCAGCGTGGTGGCAGTGGCGACTGCATTACTTTTTTGTTATACATGCTTTACTTCATATTTTCTTTATATAGTATGAGTTTTTCATTCAGTAATTAAAATAAGCTGCTCGATTCTTCCTCATGCGTCACTTCACTGGCTGCTTTTCATAAACGTCAAACTTTCATGTGAGAATTAATCACAGCTTGAGTATCTAAGTCTGGGCTGAAACTTGGCCCTAGTTAAACCCTTGGGCTTCATTTGAAACTCTAAACTGAGTTTTAATCTCATAGTCAGCTCTAAATTTGCCAGAGTTCTTTGAATCAGTTTTTGATCTTCTGCCTGGTGGATGTCACAACTGTACAATTGTAACAATAGTAACTTATTTTATGTGGATTAAGAAGTTTCTTATGTACTTGATGTATGCCAGTTTAAAGGTGCATTGTGTAAGATTTATGCTTTAGATAAGCATAAATGGAATACAGTATACAAAGCATTGTTTATTAGTGTACACTCAGAAAAATAGATACGAAACTGTCACTGGCACCCCTCTTGTCACTGGGGTGGTACCCTCTCAGTACCTTTAGTTAGGGAACATAATTGTACCATAATCCATTGAAATGATATTTTCTAAGTTGTACTGACTCCACACACCCCGTCTCGTCTCCAGGCTTTTTATTTTATTGTTCTGTTTTAAAACATTCGGTTATGAAAAGGTACAAACATGTACTTTTCAACAGGGAAAACTTACACAGTTGGACCTCTAAATTGCCTTTA